GGCGCCGATCCCACCGAGTAATCAGTCTCCTGCGGCACATGGGGGGCCGCCGATGATGCCCGCGTTCGGCTCGGAAACTCGCCTGCAACCCCTTCGATCTCTCCATGCGGGGGCTTGAAGGGCTCGGAGGGCTCGGAGGGCCCGAGCGTCCGAGCCCACCAGGCCCCTCCGAGCCCGTCTGCGGAGCCCTCCAGCCCTCCGAGCCCTCCGAGCCCTCCGAGCCCTCCGAGCCCTCCGAGCCCTCCGAGCCCCCCGAGCCCGGCTCGGCGGCTCGCCCCTCCGAGCCCTCCGGGCACTCCATCCCTTGTGAGCCCTCCAGAGCCCTCCCGAGCCCACCAGCGCCACCCTCGTGCCTCTCTGCCCTCCGAGCCCTCCGACCCCTCCGAGCTCTTCACCTCTCCCAAGCCCTCATGAGCCCTCCTACGCCTCGCTTTTGGCCAGCCCTCCCAGCCCCCACCCCTCCTGGGCCCTGCCGCCTGACACCTCTATCGGTGGAGGGCTTTAGCTCACGGTCCACACTCCCGCCCTCCCGACCCCTCCACACCCCTACAGCGGCACCCCTACCCCTCCCGCCGTTTTAGGGCCTGCCCACCCGCACTCCCGGCGGGGAAAGTCAAAGTGGGTCTTAAAGTGCGCGCGTTGCGGGGAGAGAGAGAAGTCGCCAAGTCCCACGTCAGAGCGGACGCGGTCCGCAGCGCAGCGGAGCACCGGGACGCGAGACGCGCAGCTCTTACGTACATTCCCGTAGGAGGACTCTGCTGACAGGGTTTTGCGATGAGGAGCGACCCGAAGGGTTTCTCGGAGGTTAGTGCACCACTAACCGCCGAATTCTTTTTGCTCGGCTACCTGGGGAATCCTCTTCAATTTTTGGTTAAGAGATAAGACGACTGACGAGTCGAGAGACGAGAGGATCGCTCCATCGCGCATCGGATCTGTGAGAGAGGTGGCTCTGTGCATGCAGCAACCAGCATGGCATTTGGCCACCATGTGGGAGAGAGAATTTGAAGACAGAACCAAGCCTCTCGCATTCGTAACTTCGCGCGCTCTTTTCTCTCCTACTCCTCTCTCCCACATCTTCCCACCAATATGAACATACAGTAAGACACGCCGAAGCCGCCGAGCGAGCGAGCGCGACGCTCCTCCCGTCACAACCTGCCCATCAGCACCGTGACCTGCCTCGCGTCCGCCCCGGTCAGAGCCGGCGGGCGGACGCGGAAGAGGAGCGCCGCGTTGGCTGCGCCGACCCTCGCCTCCACGAGCGCTCTGTCGCAGCCGGCGGCGGCGCGGCGCAGCGCCCGCTGCGGCTGGCTCCCGCGTGCGAGCCTCTCCTTGACGAAGGAGCCCGACAAAAAGGTCTTGAGGTAGATGGCGGCGCGCTCCAGCGTCGCCGTGCGCACTCGGTGGGGCGGCCGCGGCGGCGCCGCGCGCCGCAGCTGCTCGTTGAGCGGCAGCAACCTCTGCCGCCAGATCTTCTGCAGGTGGACGTGGTGGCCGTGCACCTCGTACGGCGCGCCGAGCGAGCGCCACAGGCTCGCCTCCAGCGAGACGGACTGGCCCTGCGACAGCTGGAAGGAGCCTCCGCCGTCGTCCCACGCGCAGTGCAGCAGTCCGCTCCCTACGACGCCACCCACACGGCCGGGCTCGCTGAAGAGCGTGATGCGATCGACGCGGTGCGCGCCGTGAAGCAGCACGTCGCCTCGCGGGAGGGACGGCGCCGACCGCTCAATCTGTCGGAAGGCGGCCTGCGTCAGCATGTCGTCGGCGTCGAGCCGCACGAATGTGATCCACCCACACTGGCGCCGCTGCAGGAGTAGCTGCCGCGCCCCCGCCGCCGCGGCCGCGCCGCTCCTGAAGACGTGCGCAGCACCGCTCGGCCACGTGAGCGCGGCGGCGTCCAGCTGGGCCTCTGTTCGGTTGGACGAGTAGGTCCCGCCGAGGAGCACAAGGGCGTCGTGTGAGGCCGACGGGTGACCTGCTTGTGTGTGCCGGTGGAAGGCGGCCGCCGCCGTTACCGACGGCAGCACAAGCTCAGCCAGCCAGCGAAGGCCCTCGCGCACCCGCGCGGGTCGGTGCTCACCCCAGAGCGAGATCTTGACGGCGTAGCAGCGCGACGTTGGCAGCGACGTTGGCTCCATCGCGCCCGGCCATAAAAAGCCGAGGATTTGATGGTGGTGTTGTAGGGTGCCTTAGATTGGCTTCCAACGATAAGACGTACTGAGGTGTTCGGAGGAGGAATCCGGCCAGCACGGGTACAAAGAGGGCTACCCGGAGAATCCCCAGCCAGCTGCGGAAACGTAGTGTCGCTCAAGAGGTGCGATACTTACTGCGGGGGAGTGTAAGTAAGTGAGGTGCCTATATGGGCTTCCAGTATCGGACCTTCAAGACATGCGCTTTTGGCCGGTGGCCTCCCTCGCGCCTCGGACAAAAGGGTCCCAACTCCTTGGATGCATGCCAAACACTCTGCATGCCACACACATGCGGTGTGAGGCCTCGTCGCGCCACAGGGAGGGGGGCGGAGGAGGAGGAGCATTTTTTGCAAGTGTCCGAGCGGTCCCGAGCGGCCCCAGAGCACCGCAGAACGCCGACACAAACAACAAGATGGCGGGCTGTCCGACCACTCCTCTGACCACTCCTCCCTCCGACGACCTCTCCTCCGACCAAGACTCGCACGGGGGCACCGGCTCTAACTAGCGACGCTAATGATGAGATCCTCGATGTGCTATGACTTTCTCGGCTACGGTTCCGACTCCGGCTCCGGCTAGTTGACAAGCTGCCGAGCCCAACCAAGTCACTGTGGAGTGCGTCCGTGCTTGAGCACTTGAGCACTGGATAGGGCCGATTCCGCGTGGTACGGGACCCCTCGATCGTCTCGCCCTCCCTCACTGGTGTGTTCATCGGGGGGGGGGGCATAACAAACACGGTACAGGATCGAGGTGCACGCTGCCGAAGCAGTGTCGTCCCCCCTCTCCTCGACGGTGATGCTGATGGCGGTGTGACCGATCGAGCTACAAGAGGAGCTTGTTCAGCAGGATCCGGGCCGTCGGATGCACTACCTCACTGGGTCTGAGACCACCGCACGGCCAGCCCTTCACCACTCCGGGTTTGCGTGGAGTCGAACCACTCCGGTATGGGCGAGCCCATTGATTTGAGTTGAGTCCCTTCTCGCCTGCGGGAAGCAGTGGGGAGTGCGTTTCTGCTCCTAGCGGGGTTGGGGCGGGCGGGGGGCGGGGCGGGGCGGGGCCGGGGGGGCGGGGGGGGCGGGGGGGGGGGGGGTCGTAACCGAGCGAGAGCTCAGACGTAGCAACTTGTAGACGTACTACACACACACAAAGTCCGAATGCTTCCATCTGATTAATTTTCCATTTTCCTCCGTTCATGAAGTCCGTCTCGATCTGGAGGAGACGGGTCAACCCCGTGAGGACCAGATCACGTTCACATTGTCGTAGCCGGAGAGGAGGCTGACCTTTAGCTCTTGGAGACCACCTTCTGGTTTTCCCCCCAAACCATTCGGCCAACTTTTACCGAATGCCAAAGTGACCCGAGCCGCCGGGTGCCCCGCCGCGAGGTGGGGTGCTAGTATGAGCCCGACCCAGGTCGTAGTGTTCTTGCTCCCAGCGCTTGCGCTTCGGCGGTTAGTGGTGCACTAACCTCCGAGAAACCCATCGGGTCGCTCCTCATCGCAAACCCTGTCAGCAGTCCTCCTCCGGGAATGTACGTAAGAGCTACATACGCATACACTGAGAGAGAGAGAGATGCAAAGATCAACCGCCTTGCGCGCAAGGCTCAACGCTCGGGCGTTGACCGCACCGCGTACCCTCCCCACTCCCGCCTCTCATTTGTGTCACACCACGCGGAACGCATTTCCATCGCTTCGGTGAAGGGGGTGAACCGCGCCATCCTCGATCGCCGTGCAAAGCTCGCTTCCGAGCTCTCACGCCGCGCGTAGGGCCCTTAGGGGCCTAGAGAACACAACCCCCTCTCCCTTTTCTCCCAGTAAGCTAAAAGTACACATACACTGAGAGAGAGAGAGAGAGATCTCCCTTTTCTCCCAGTAAGCTAAAAGTACGTACACTGAGAGAGAGAGTAGCTAAAAACACATACACTGAAAGTTGCATTTTACCACTCGGGCCTCGCGTCTCGAGGGGAGGACGGCTCGTAACTGAGGTTCGCCGTCAGGGACAGTCGTCCTCCCCTCCCTCCGACGTCCTCTACGAGGGGGGGACTCCGAACGGCCGAGCATGCCCTCGCATGCCGGACAACTAGGTAGGTCATAGACCTCCCCCCCTCTCCGAGGGCAGAGGCTGCCGCCTCTCGGATACTCGGCCATTCCAACGGCCAGGCCGCTCGCTTAAGGCTGATTGGCTAGACGAGCGGCCTACCTCCAACGGGGCGGTCTGGATCACGGGGGATGACATCCTGCCTCCCGGCACGCCGGGAGGAGGTGGGTGCTCCGCCGCCGGACCGCCCTCTCCACCACCCTCGCCCAGGGATCTACAACGCTGTCTCAAGGTCCGACAGGTTCGGCACCGGGCACCGCCTCGGTATACAAAATGCGCCTGCGGGCGGACCCTTACAGATCACAGATCACTCGGGCAAATACCGGTGAAACGTCAGAAAAGCGCGTCGGCGGCCGCGTCTCCAGAGAGCTTTGCATGCCATGAAGCGGCCGGCGCGCCACCGCAGCTCACCAATGGAGCTTGCGACAGAAGCACTGATATGTGCGCAGCGGATCATGATGTTGGTCGCGCCATGCGAGAGGACAACCACAGCGCACAGGCCACAGATGCTTGCTCGGACGCGGACCCGCCGTGCGAGTTGCAGACCCGGAGGAGGCCGACCCAGCTTATCCCGAGAGAGGCCTTGCCCAAGGGTCAGCCATGTGGGGTCATGTGGCCAAAACTTTTACCGAACTTCCGTGCTAGATTTTTTTTTTGAGATATGGGACTCTTACGTACATTCCCGGAATTTCTTGTCGTGGCTCCTAAAAAATAGGCCTTTGGGGGTTGTGTTTTTGCGTAACAGCTCCACAGTCTAGAAGAAGAGAGAATCAGTTTACAATTCTTTTAGCATCGATTAGATTTCTTGCCTCCGAAGGGCAGGCTCCTTGCTTGCCGCCACCAACGCCGGCTCCTGCCGGAGTGCAAAACGCCCTCCCGACTCAACGGGACCAAGGATATCCACCTCGAGACGTCGATAGAAGCCACAAGATGGCTCAGTTTCGAGTCAACGGTCTGGAGTTCGCATGCCTGTTTCACAACGAGTCGTCGTCGGGCGAGCTCGACACCGTCTCTAGCTCGGACGACTCGTTGCCACACACCTTCTGGGCCGGCGTGATACTCTCCGTCATCGCTGATGTCATCATCGCAATCTCTCTCAACACGCAAAAGATCGCGCACAATCGAAACGCGGACCGCCAGACCGGGAGGCCATCGAAAGCGTTCATTCGTCTGCCTCTCTGGTGGGTGGGTATCACGCTCAACGCTCTGGGGGAGGTCGGCAACATGTTGGCCTACGGGCTGGCGCCCGCGGCTGTTGTGGCGTCTGTCGGCTCCGTTGGGGTCGTCGTCAATCAGATTATTGCAGTCTGCTGCCTCAAGGAGCAAGGCCGCAAGCGCGACCTCGGAGGCATCTGCGGCGTCGTCGCTGGAGTCGTGCTCATCATCTTCGGCGTTCCGGAAACAGAAAAGGAACTGACGGTGCAGGTCATGCTCTCCGCAGAGGTGTTCCTCGCGCCACGCGCGTACGTCTACCTCAGCGCGCTCGTGGTTGTCATCGCCGTCCTCGTCATCTTTGTCGAGCCGAGGCGCGCTGACGCTCATCGGCACACTCCTCGCGCCGCCGCCGCCGCCGCTGCCGCCACCGCCACTGCCGCCGCCGCCGCCGCCGCCGCCCCCCCGCACGGCACCGCCTCACCGCCGCGAATCGGCCTCTGCAGGTATGCAGAGCGGCACATCCTCGTCTGGCTGACGCTGTGCTCTGTCATCTCCTCGATGACGGTGGTCGCATGCCGTGGCTTCTCCTCCCTTGTCACCCAGGTGGCCTGCCGGCCCCGCACCCCGCCGCTCGCCACCGTTCTAGCGCACGTGAGCTAGCCCTCGGCCTCGCCCGTCACACACCTGACTTCACCCGTCGCTCGTGCAGGCGGCGAGTGACTGCGCCGCCGAGCATTGCGTCGACGACGTGCTGCGGCCGCCATGCTCTCAGACCCTCGCGCACTGGTTCTTCTGGCTGCTGCTCGTCGTGATCATCGTCACCGCAGTCTGGTCCGCCTACTACCTCAACAAGGCGATGCAGTTCTTTGGCAACTCGGAGACGGTGCCCGTCTATTACTGCACTTTCATGCTCATGTCCATCGTCGGCGGCGCACTCGTCTTCAACGAGTTTGAAACCGTCCGAGGCGCGCAGCTGGCCATGTTTCTGAGCGGTGTGGTGCTCGCTATTCTCGGCGTCTGGCTCATCACATCTGGCCGCCACTCGTCGCCCGCGGCGGCGCTCAGCCAGAGCCCGTCGCGCCGTGTCAGCTCGTTCGCACGTGAGGCGAGTGGCGATTCGGTGACCAAGCCGCCGCCGGCCGCGCCCGCCTCGGGCGACTCGGATGGCACGATAGCCGTGGCGGGCGAGGAGAAGGGCTCGGGCTCGCGTCCGCACTCGAGTGCCGACCCCTCGCCTCCCTGGACGGTGCGGGTCGATGCGGCGGCGCCGCCGCCGCTGACAGTGCCGAGCTCGCAATCGGAGGATGTGCTGGTCGCCAACCCAATCGCTTCGCTCATGGGTGCTCTGTCGCCGGGTCGAAAGGAGCCATCCAGCGCGGGGAGCAGCGCGCTGAGCAGAGCGCGGCAGCAACGTCTTTTTTCTTCCTCCACCCAGCGAGCATTGGCAGAGGCGTGCGACGAAGGCGACGAGGCCACTGTCAGTGTCTAGAAACGCTCTCGCACACATCTGTGTATCTCGAACACTGCTACGCCCGAGTTGTTGCTGATATATAATGATTCTGTTTGAGCAGTGGAAAAGATCTCCCATACCCTTCCGAGATTCAGATACGGCTCTGGTTACTTCCCCCAGGATTGGTCTTCTCTGCATGCGGGAACACCCTCGGGCGGCCGGGTGGGGCTGCGGCTGGAGCTAGCATGGCTCGATAGAGCCGAGACCCCGCGTTGAGGCGGCGCTCCTGTGGGCGGCTGTGGAATCGGCAGATTCGACCTTAGATCTCCAGTTTATCTCATCCCAGTGGATGGACGTCCGGACGTCCCTTTGTGTTCCTCTCGCCGTCCGCCAGCGAGACGCTCTGTCGCTGGCGGCCGCAGTTTTCTGTGACCCACCCACCTCTCCCTTGTGTTTTGTCTGGGGAGGGGCTTCTCCTGCGGAGTCGTGCGTGCGCAGGGCTCCTCTTTGCTTTCTTCTACTCCCTACTATCATCTCGTTCCCGTCCTACCAGAGAATTCTCTCGAGAAGTCGAGTCGCGCGCCGCGGTGTGTGTCGGCAGTCCCAGTCGGGACGCGCGCGGCGCGGCGGCTGGGCGTACTGAGGTACTCGTTAGACGCGTTACTCGGGGTGCCACACGCGACACGGTTGCGAGCGGGCGGCACCCCCGCGCTGATCGGATAATTGTTGTTCACTAGTACAGGAACTACAACATAGAGAGCGTGTAGGAGTCTGGGGGTGCCTTGATGATCATTGGCACGTGCAGGTCGGTCTCGTACACCGTGTGCCTCGCCCACGAGCCCTTGTTGCCGAGCTTATAGCCGTGGTCGCTCGCAAAGGTGATGATTGTCTCGTCGTACATTTGCCGCTCCTTGAGCTCGTCGATGAGATATCCTACAAGGTAGGGTCGGTCGACCTCGGGCGTGCTTGCGTGATGGACTGCCGAGCACGAAAGACACTCGCTCACCAATGAGTGTGTCGACGTACGTGATGCAAGCGTAGTAGCCGTGAATGAGTTCACGGGAGAGGCCCTCAGGCAGGTTCCGCTGGCCGCCGTTGGGCCCGCCGCTCCCCGCGTTGTAGTCGCCCCGCTCGATCTCGTTGTACGAGAGCAGCTCAAAATAGTGTACGGAGCGCGGCGGCGCCCCGACAGGTAACCACGGATTTGGTGCGAGGAAGATATCGGAGGCGCTGTACATGTCCCAGTACCTGCCGGGCGTGTTTACAGGCGAGTGAGCACCGGCGTCTGGAGCCCTCCTGGCAGAAAGCGTGTCTCTCGCGCAGGCGGGAGTGGCTGCGGCGCACTTTTTGGGGCACGCGAAGGGAAGGTGTGGGCGGTTGTAGCCGGCGCCGATGAAGAAGGGTGTCTTCATTGCCTTGGCGAGGCGAATGTCTGACATGATCTTGCGCGTCATCAGGCCATCGGGATGGACCCAGTCGTCCACGTCCGCCGCCTCCACCAACGGCCGGTTTGTGCGATCGAACGTCACGCCCGGCTTCGGGGCATACTCTCGGGGCCCATACGTTCTGGCGTAAGCGGAGTAGTTGAGAGCAATTTCCTCCTCCAGTTCGCTGGAGTGGCTGCCGACGACATCCGGCGAACGCGTTGAGGCTCTTGCGAACTCGCTAAGCTCCGCCGGCTTCTCTTCGCTCGCTCGCCGGCCGATGGGCTCCACCAAACGGCAACATAAGCCTGCACGCAGCGGCAGACATCAGCCAACACGTTGGGGCACGTGCGCGAGGAGCGCGCGCCACACCTGTGCTGCGGTTGCAAGCGGGGATATCGCCACCTGCGGGCGGGCGGGCGGCAGAGGCCAACAGGAGGGATCAACAAGTGATGCCGCGCGCTGCTATTCCCACTCGGCCCTGATACCGGGGGCGGGGAGGAGGGGGGGGGGGAGGGGAAAGGGTGCAGAGGGAGCACTCATGGTCACCCATGTTTGTTGGCATCTACGGAGAGGTTTTAGAAGTGGTGGTACCATGGCCGCAGATCTCGTTCCAAGACTGCTCGTTGTCCAGCCTGAGCAGATGAGGCGTGCTGAAAGCGGCTGCGTCATCGACTCCTGTGTCAGGTGATGGATAGGCCATCGCACCGCTTGTGGTATATCTTCTCGTGTATTTTACCGGATGCGCATGCGGTCTCGGAGCCTGTGTAGTAGAAGAAGCACTGCTCGTATGTGCCATCGTCCTCTAGAGGTTCTACACCGACTCTTCGCCTGATTACGTGTAGGTTGCAGCGTGCCTCGTCGCTGCTGTAGATGGAGCACTTAACAAGGTTGGCGTCGTCGAAGACAATGCCTTCATCGGCCATGTACTTCATGCGATGCCAGAATGTCTCGCAGCTGAAATCCACCCGCGAGATCGGGGCGTAAGGCGGCGGCGGCGGCGGCGGCGGCGGCGGCGGCGGCGGTGGGCTGGTAGTGCAAGCAGGAGCGCACCCGCTACACGCCTCCCAATTGCACTTGTAGGTCCACGGATTGCTGTTTTCCAGGCAAAAGGGACCGCACTGCGACATAGGCGGCAAGGGCGGCGGCAGCGGCGGCGGCAGCGGCGGCGGCGGCGGCGGCGGCGGCGGCGGGCTGGTAGTGCAAGCGGGAGCGCAGCCGCTACACGCCTCCCAATTGCACTTGTAGGTCCACGGGTTGCTGTTTTCCAGGCAAAAGGGACCGCACTGCGACATAGGCGGCGAGGGCGGCGGCGGCGGTAGCGGCGGCGGCGGCGGCGGCGGCGGCGGCGGCGGCGGCGGCGGCGGCGGCGGCGGGCTGGTAGTGCAAGCGGGAGCGCAGCCGCTACACGCCTCCCAATTGCACTTGTAGGTCCACGGGTTGCTGTTTTCCAGGCAAAAGGGACCGCACTGCGACATAGGCGGCGAGGGCGGCGGCGGCGGTAGCGGCGGCGATGGCGACGGCGACGGCGGTGGCGGCAGCGGCGGCGGCGGCGGCGGGGGCGGCGGGCTGGTAGTGCAAGCGGGAGCGCAGCCGCTACACGCCTCCCAATTGCACTTGTAGGTCCACGGATTGCTGTTTTCCAGGCAAAAGGGACCGCACTGCGACATAGGCGGCGAGGGCGGCGGCGGCGGTAGCGGCGGCGGCGGCGGCGGCGGCGGCGGCGGCGGCGGCGGCGGCGGCGGCGGCGGGCTGGTAGTGCAAGCGGGAGCGCAGCCGCTACACGCCTCCCAATTGCACTTGTAGGTCCACGGATTGCTGTTTTCCAGGCAAAAGGGGCCGCACACAGGGGTTGAGCAGGCAGTGCAGCCGCGGCATTGAACCCACTGGCACTTGCCCGTCTGCCCTTCTGAACCTGTCCATGACTGGGTCATGACGAGGCAGTGACGCTGACACGGCAACGAGGCTAGAGTCAGTGCAGGCGGCGTAGATGGCAGAGGCCGTGGAGGCGGCGCAGGCGGCGCCAGCGGCGGAGAGCATTGAGGGGTGCAGCTGCGGCAGTTGTCCCACCTGCTACATTTTTCACTCCACGCCACGGTACTGGCCCAGCAGTGGGGCTGGCAAACACCAACGGCAGCAACGTGGATCAGGGCTGGGTGCATTGGACAGCAGCGGTGGATCGTGGCGATGTGATCCCACTTCTATCATCCGTCGCCAAGATGCAAACACCGCCAGCAACTAAATACAGGCTCATTACAATTGATGAGCGTTGTTATAGTGGCCACCTTTTTGTCGCCACGCCGGGGCGGACCATCGAAACTTTTTTGCTTCTTGTTTTCCTTCTTTCTCACAGCTCACAGGATAAATTTGAGTTGATTCTTGATAGCTATAGAATAATCAGAGAGCGTGGTGTGTGCCGGCTGCGGGCTGGGTGCGAAAGCCGAAACAGCTTTTTGTTTTTTCATCGCAAATACCCAACCAAGAACCAATACCCGGTGCGCATTTTTCATTTTTCTGCGAATTACGAGAGAGTCTCGCCCACCTTGCTCCTTGGACACGACAGCCCACTCTGTCAGGTCTTGCAGGCTTGCAGCACTCTAGCCTCTAGGTTTGCTCTACCTCTAGATGACGCGTGCTTCACAGGGAGCATGCGATATTGTCATTCACGCGTTTTGCGGCAGCTCGTTCTATGAGCCCCGGCCGGCCACCATGCTAACGAAAGTCTCGTAGTCGACGGACCCGGACTCGTCATCGACTCCAAAGGCACGAAGCAGCTCCTATAGGCACGCGCGGAACAAGTCCAAGAGGCGTCCGCCGAGATCGAGCTGGGCGCCGCGACATATGCGCCTCGATGCCGGCGCGACTCACTGCGCCTCCGGCCGCCTCTTCGCCGCCCAAGGCGAGCGAGACGCCGCTCAAAGCCTCGAGCAGCTCACCCGCGTCCAGAAGACCTGACGGCGTCGATGGGGGCTGTGCCGAGAAGGGTGCGAGCTGTGAGCTGAGGGCGTGTGTGCACGTCGAGAGCGGCCGGAGGGGCGGGGAGGGTTGGCCGGAGGGGCGGGTCGGGTCGACTCTGCCGCGAGCTCATCTCTGGGTCTTTGGGAGGAGGGGTGGGGTGCCACCGTTGCCGTCGACGTCGAGCGCGCGGAAGGAGGAGAGGAGCGCGTCGGCGTCGGTCACCTCCTCGCTCGCGCGCCTGGAGATGGTCCGGCAGAGGTCCGGGAACTGTCCCGAGACGGCGGGCGCGGTGCCTCTCCTCGCTCGCGCGCCGCGCCATCAGCCGCAAAAACGCGCGCTCGTCCACCTAGTTCCACACTCCACCCTCCAGAGGGCAGCTCAGCACGGGCTCCATCAAGGAACGGGGTGCGACCACCGTGTCGGTGCTCGCGTCGCCGTCCGCCGCTGTCACCACCCTCCGCAGCTCCTCCTCCGAGGAGAAGGGCATGCCCAGCGCCTCGCACGCCGCCGCCAGCTCCTCCGCGTCGAGCACGCCGTCGCCGTTCCGGTCGAGCGCGCGAAAGACGGACTGCATCTCCTCGGTCTGCTGCTCCGTCACCCAGCCGTCGCCCGCCGCGCCGCGCAGCAGCTCGGGCGCCCTCCGCACCGCCTGCACCGCGCCAAGCAGCTCCTTGAGCCTCACGAGTGGCGCCAGGGCGGCCGGGTCGAGCTCCCTCAGCCGGTCCAGCCGCTCCCCCTCCCCTGCGAGCAAACCGTCCAGCTTCTCCTCGAGCCGCTTCCGACGCTTGTAGCTGAGCACGAACCGGTCGACGCAGCCGGCGCGAGGCACGTACAGGTGCACCATCGGCAGCAGCAGCACGCGCTCTTCCCTGCAGACCTGCTGCGCCTGCTTGTAGTTCACTTCGAAGAAGTCCGCCTGGCCGGAGAAGCGCTTGGCCGCCGCCTCGTAGACCGGCGCTAGGCGGCGGCACGCAGGGCACTGTGGAGAGAAGAACTTGACGACGCCGACTCTCTCCACGGCCGCGAGCGACGATGCAAAGTTCGACGCGTCTAGCTGCGCCACCGAGCCCTTCTTCCTCGTGCGGCTCTGCTCCCGGGCGGCGAAGGCGGCGCGGGCTGCAGCCGCCTCTGTCTTCCACGCCTCGTTCAAGCCCATGCGCGCGCCTCTGGTGCGCAGCGTCGCACGAGGAGACGGGATCAGGGCGAGTGCGAGGATCAGCATTTTCAAGCAGGCTCCTGCAAGCAGGCTCCTGCTCGCGGAGTCCTGGGCGGGCTCCGATGACCTGTTTGTTTCCTTTCTTCAGCGTTGTTCTCTAACGGCCCTACGCGCGGCGTGAGAGCTTGGAAGCGAGCTTTGCACGGCGATCGAGGATGGCGCCTCTCTCTCTCTCTCCAATGTATGTGGCTCTTAATTCCCGTAGCGGAGGACTATGCTAAAAGGGTTTGCGATGACGAGCAATGGTTTTAGAAACAAGGAGTTTTGCAGGAGACGACGAAAAAGAAAGCGTCTGGCAAGTGTGGTGGCGGTCGGGCGGTGTGCTTGGGCACCAATACTACTTTCAGCTCGATGCATCTCCACACCGCCACTAAGCTGCTCTACCTTGCATTCCTCAGCGGCGGCGACGGGCTGCGCGTGTTCCGCCCGTCTTCAATCACCATCCGGCGGCAGGTCGGCCAGCTCGGCTTCGCCACGGAGACTGAGTGGCAGTATGCGGGCGGCAAGCGGAACCCGCTCGATCCGAGCCAGCCCTCTCGCACGGTCGAGGCGTCGGGCGCATCGGTGCGCCTCTTTGAGGCGCGGCTGGCCGACGGCAGCCGCTCGCTCCTCAAGGAATTTCTCGGCGCGGAGGCCCGCGCGATCGGAGATAGAGAGCTGGCCGTGTACCGGCACCTCGAGGAGGAGGCGGGAGGCGCGCCGGACCTCAGCGTGGGGACGCTCTGCGGTCACATGATCTCGGACGAGGCGAGCCCGCAAAGACACCCGACGCAAAGACGCTGACACCTCGGCAGACACCTCGGCAGACACCTCGCAGACACCTCCGAGGCACCGCCCGAGAGGCCATACCGCCGACGCCCTACAGGCGTTTGAGACCAGAGGCTTCCGAGAGGCGTGGGAGGCGTCCTTTGGCCTCGCCGTCCCTCCGCCCGCCGCAGGCCCGCCCGCCCGCCCGCCCACCCCCCGGTCTCCCCGGCCCAGCCACGGCCGGCGGAAGCTGCGCTAGTGCAGCTTCTCTTCTTGCGGCGTTGACGAGCGGGTCAGTGGTTGGCTAGGCCGGCTCTGGCTCATCTTTCGGTGGGTGCCGCTCCGCACCATCGGCGGCTTCGCGCGCGTGGAGCAGCCACCGGCGGGATTGGCGGGGCTTTTCGACTGGGGCGCCGCGCAGGCGCCTGAGCTCACGGCTGCCTCTCTCCCTCTCTCTCTCTCTCTCTCTCTCTCTCTCTCTCTCTCTCTCTCTCTCTCTCTCTCTCTCTCTCTCTCTCTCTCTCTCTCTCTCTCTCTCTCTGCTCTCCGTACCGCCTCTCCCCGCGCCGCAGCCTCTCTCTTCGCTGCCGCCCCTGCCTCCACCGCCACCGCCCTCGCTGCCTCTGCCGCCCAGGCGCGCCGCGAGTGGGTGCGCACCGCGTCGCGCGAGTCGCTGCGCGCGCTGGCAGCGCTGCACGCGGCGGGCGAGGCGGTCTAGATGCTGCGGTCTAGATGCGTGTGGTCTTGATGCTGAGCACAGCGGCCCCTGGTGTGCGCTCGCTCACCTCTTCCCCCCTGCACGCGCACTCTAGGCGTCGCGCACCGCTCGCTCGGCTCCTCGTCGCTGCTGGTGCCGACGCGGCGCGGAGGCGGCGCGAGGTTGGCCGGGGTGACGCGATACGGCGCGGGAGTAGGTGTCGACGTACGAGCAGCGCGAGGCGGCGCGGCTGCGCGTGACGCTCGTCGACCTCGGCTTCGCCGCCACGCCCGCGCTCCTCTCTGCCGAGGAGATTGCGGCGGCGATGCGGCAGGCGCGCGGGGCGCGGCCCGGAGAGTCCCCAAAAGCGTGGCGGAGAGCGCTCGAGAGTACCCGAGCGGAGTGCTCGGAGAGATTGCGGCGGCGATGCGCGGCAGGCGCGCGGGTCGTACAGTGGCTGCCCAGGCCGCCCACCGCTCCGTGGGAGATTGACACAGACGGGCGGGCAGAGAATGTCGACGCGCTCCGGCGGCCTCTCTCCCCCCCTTAACCGGTGCCGGTGGCGGCCGGTGCCTCCCCCCCCCCCAACCGGTGCCTTGCCCGCGCAGGCCGGGTGCGGCCCGACGGGCGTGCTGCCGCTCCTCACCCTGTACGACCTGCACGGGCTCGGCTACGTCCTCCTCGAGCTAGTCCTCTCCGCCCTCGTCCCTCGCCCGGCCGGCGGAGGCGGAGGCGTGCGGCCGCCGCCCGAGCTGCAGCAGCTCAAGCGGCTCGTCGAGGACGTCTTCAGCGACGACGTCGCGCGCGGCTTCCGCGACTACTGCGCCGAGGAGCCGGGGTGGGAGGCGGCGGTGGCGCTGCTCGACGAGGGCGGCGGCGCCGGCTGGGACCTGCTTCAGAGCCTCGTCGATTGCCACACGCCCGCGGCGGCGGGCAGCGTGAGCGCGCAGTCGCTGCTGGACAGCTCGGTTTGGCTCCGGCCAGGGGGCAGGTAGGGCGGGCGTGCTGGCGGTTTTATTCCCTACGCGCGTTTCGAAAAGAAAGACAAAGAGAAATCGTCGCGCAGGAGTCCAGAGAGATCTCACTGTTTAAAAGTTCAGACTGTCAGTGTCACTGATCACAGCGGGTTTATACCAAAACAAACCAACTCGTGCACTCCACAAGTGCTCCAAGATCGTCGTAAAGGGCGTAGACTTACGCTCTAACGGTCTACGCCTTTAATCCATAAAGCATAATCGTCGCAGGAACGGACAAAAATGGCAAAAAGAAAGGGACTAGGGAGGCGACGGCGAAACGGACAGACCAAGCCAGGACCAAGCTAGGGCTGGGGCCTGGGGGGAGGACAGACACGTCCCCACCTTTGCGCTTTGCAGGATTTTCCTCTGGGGGGAGGCGGGGCCCCTAGGGGGTACCCATGCGGGGGGGAGATGGGGTCCCATGGCTCGCCGCAGGCGCCGATTTCGCGATGTTTTCTTTTTTGCGCGATTTCTACTTGTTTTTATGAGAATTTCGCGTAGCGACCATGGTCCATGCTATCACGCCTTGCGACATCCTTTCGGCGCTGCTGACCGTGCCATGCTGCTCAACTGACCGCCTGCATAGCTCGCGGCCTTAGTCTTCGGCATTCCAGTGACGACCTGATCGTACGGCCAGTAGGAAGGTGTCCTTCCAGCGCGTGCACGCTTCTGACGCAATGCGCGTCACAAACTGCCTCGGATTGGCTGCTGGCACTCTCGAGGCTATGCCTACACAGCCTCGCGCGCATGGGCAGTCAAGAGGGACCATGGCACCTTCTCACGACAGCGCCGGTGCTTCTCTCTTGGACCGGCAAACGTGGTGGTCTCGTGTCACCAATGTGGGACCAGTGCGGCATCGCGCCATCGACAGCTCTGAACTGCGCCTCACCACTGACCGGGAAGGCCGCCAAGTGGGTCAGCACCGGTCGCACATGGTGGCAGCAGTCAGCAGCGCATGTCTGATAGCTAGAGCAGCAGCATCAGGGTCGCAGGGTCGGATCATGTCAAGCCTCTCGCCCGGCCGGCCGCGTGCAGACGTTGGCCTGTCTACTGTCTGGAGTGATCTGTCGGCGGTCAGTACGCGACCGATCAGGTTGGAGTTTTCTGATGACTGGAGGGTCTGTCTGTATGTACTCCTCGAGATCTTTCCAAATCTGCCCTCTGATTAACCTAGCTTAATCGGGAAGTCGATGCTAACGGAGACTAGCGGAGCCGGGGCCCCGTTTCCGCACTGCGCGGCGCACGGTGCCTCCGGGGGGCCCCGCCTCCCCCCTGAGGGATTTTCAGTGTATGTAGCTCTTATACGTACATTCCCGGAGGAGGACTGCTGCGGAGAGAGAGAGATTGACAGATTGTGTCTGGATTCTGTTTGTGTTTGTTGTTGTAGGATTGCTGACGGGGTTTGCGATTTTGCAAGCAAGGGCGAGGGTGAGCGTGCAGCGCGGCGCTGAGAGGGCGGGACCGGAGCACTTGGAACTATCATTACACAATGAGGGCCGGGGAGCTACGAAAGAAAGAAAGAACACAGACAGCCCAAGGGAGGGATGGCACTTGGAGCACTTGGAGCACTTGGAGCACTTGGAGCAGTTTGCGCACTTATAGTTAGAGGCTGCGCAGGCCGTCCCGTTTGCTGTTTGAAACGCCTGTTGCGCTGGCCGCTGGCGCTGCGCGCGCGCGCTGGCCGCTGGCCGCTGCCGGGGCTCTGTCTCACACTCTCACGTGCCGCAATATGTGTCACACACGGCGGCTTCTGCCACCTCTCGATTGGTTCCACTTTCTACGCACACCTACTGGGGAAGGGGCGCTTGGGAGCCGGGGCGGGGGCGGGGGCGGGGGCGGGGGCGCGCAGCGCGGCGGCGCGGCGCGCGCAACAGAGGGTAGGGTGGGGAAGACGGCGAGGAGGGGGCGGCGGCGGCGGCGGCGGCGGCAGCGCGCGCGCGGCGCGCGCGACGGGGGGGCGGAGCAGCGACCGCTGGCGCGGCCGCTGCTCCGTCTGTGCCAGGGACGCGCGCTCTGCGCCGCTGCAGAGCGTGCGCGTCAGGGCAAGGGGCATGCGTGGCGGCGCGGGACGCGCGGCGGCGGCGGCCTCCGTGAGCGGTGAGGCGGCCGGGCGAGGGCGCGGCGGGTGACGGGTCAAGGGAGCAGACCACACCCGGCGTCGCTTTTTGAGCGACGCTGTGGCACGCCTGCGCAGGGGCCGCAGGGCGGTCAGTTGTGGGGCGAGGCGGTGCCGGCCGCGGGCCGGGTGCAAGGCGCCGGCCTCGGCGCCGCCTCGGCGCGCCGCACGGGCCGCGGCGGGTGACGGGTCAAGGGAGCAGCCCACACCCGGCGTCGCTTTTTGAGCGACGCTGTGGTACGCCTGCGCAGGGGCCGCAGGGCGGTCAGTTGTGGGGCGAGGCGGTGCCGGCCGCGGGCCGGGTGCAAGGCGCCGGCCTCGGCGCCGCCTCGGCGCGCAGCACGGGCGCGGCGAGCCTCTGAGCGGGAGCCGAAGGTTTGCCTGTGGGAGGGAGGTGGGAGGTGGGAGGTGGTGGGGGTGATTTGACTTTGCCCGCAGAGGCCGTCCCTAGCTGTGAACAGCAAAACGCGAGAGTATTTCTTGTTTGTGGGCCGCGCCTCTCACAGCCCATCCACGTCTAGTAATCACCATGGCTCTGGCTCTGGCTCTTCTTTCGGGGGCGGGCATCGCTTTATTTGCGGGCGGGCGCCCCGTGGCGCGGCCGGCGGTCGCATTTCGTTCCTCGCGCGTCGCGCTCGCCGATCAGGACGCCACGTGCGTTTCCAATCAAAACGCTTGCGCCGGCCCTCTGGCTCCGCTTGCCAGATCTTGTGCTCCATTGCGCGTAGGCGCGACGCGAGCGGCAACTCGTGGGAGGAGTACGCGCGGCAGCGCGAAGCTGGCCAGCTGCAAGGCGGCTCGATCGACCAGGCAAAGGCGGATATCCAGGTCTTCATCGACAGCGGCGGCGACATGGAGTTTGACGGAGGCGACTCGGGCGGCGGCGTCGTCGGCGACGGCAACACTGACCTCGAGGACCAGCACAACTCTGCCACGCTCGGCGCGCTGCGCGGCGGCATCGCGGACTTGTCGGCCGCCTCGCAGGAGGTCGGCCGTGGCCGTGTCAAGTCTGCGGTCGATGCGCGCACCGCGTCGGCCGGAAAGAACTACTTTGGGCGCTCGACCGGGTACGCCGACAAGAAGATTGAGGAGATCACCGAGGACGACCTCAAGACGGGCCGGTGAGACCGCGCCCTCGCCCTCCCCCCACACCCACCCACCCACACCCACGTCTGTCGCCGGCACCCTCTTGCCTTCCCAGCCTC